AGGCTGTTTAGGGGTGAGGCTGGGCACCAGGGTCTGAAGGTCTCTGTAAATTGTAGGGGAGACAAAGTCCAGCCCCAGGCAGCACTCATCCCACCTGTTGCCCCCCCTAACCCGCCAGCCTGCTCATAAAAGTTAACATTTACTGAGAGCAGTGAACCAGGCCCTGTTCTAAGTGCCCAATGCTGAATCATCAACAAGCGTATGAGGTGGGCACTATCATCACTGTCCCCATTCCCCCTTTTCCAGATGAAAACTGTGGTCCAGAGAATGTAACTTAAGCACCAGGGTCACACAGCAATAAGGGTGGAGCAGAGATGCAGTCGCAGCACCTGTGCTCATAGCCACCAGGCATGCTGATGCTCAGGCAGGTAGAAAGACAGGTATAACCCTGACTTCGAGGACAGAGTGGGAATTAGCGGGTACTGAGTTCCAACTGGAGGCCAAATATGTTGCTGCATCCTCACAAGGCTTGCTACATACAGTGAAGGAAAGGAAGTTTCCCTGACTCATCCAGGGTCACTTTGCTAGTGGTGAGACAGTCAGAACTTTTTTTTTTTTTTTGAGACAGAGTCTTGCTCTGTTGTCCAGGCTAGAGTGCCATGGCATCAACCTAGCTCACAGCAACCTCAAACTTCTAGGCTCAAGCAATCCTCCTGCCTCAGCCTCCAGAGTAGCTGTAACTATAGGCACATGCCACCATTTCAGGCTAATTTTTTCTATAGTAGAAAGGGGGTCTTGCTCTTGCTCAAGCTGGTCTCGAACTCCTGACCTCAAGCAATCCTCTCACCTCGGCCTCCCAGAGTGCTAAGATTACAGGCATGAGCCACCATGCTGGTGCAGACAGTTAGAACTTGAACACTGGTCTGGGGCTACTAGATTGCCTTCCAGTCTCTGACAGAAGACCCTAAGTTTATATGGGAGAAAAATGCCCTCAAATTGAGTTTGAACCAGTGTGTTAAGAGAGGCAGGCTGGGGACAAGAGAAGGCCTTCCCTGAATGCCAGGATGGGTCAGGTCCCTGGTCTATGTCTTCACTTCCCTGGGGCTTCTGCTCTGTCTTCTCAAGACTGTGGGGCATGGTCACCCCTGGCTTGGCTCCCTGTCTCAGGAATGCAGTCAGCACATGCACCCACCTGTCTCCCATTGTATACATGTGTAGATGCATGTGCCCCATCCTAGGCCAGTATTTTCAAGACCTGGGACCTGATGGGATGCCAGGCCTCCAAGGGCATGCCCTGCCTCTGAGCATTGAAAATCTTGGCTGGAGGCTGGGCGAGGTGGCTCATGCCTATAATCCTAGCACTCTGGGAGGCCGAGGGAGGCGGATCACTCAAGGTCAGGAGTTTAAAACCAGCCTGAGCAAGAGCGAGACCTTGTCTCTACTAAAAAAAAAAAAATAGAAATTAATTGGTCAACTAAAATATATAGAAAAAATTAGCCGGGCAGGTGGCGGATGCCTGTAGTCCCAGCTACTTGGGAGGCGGCGGCCGAAGGATCCCTTGAGCCCAGGAGTCTGAGGTTGCTGTGAGCTAGGCTGATGCCACGGCACTCTAGCCCGGGCAACAGAGTGAGACTCTGTCTCAAAAAAAAAGAAAATCTTGGCTGGGGACCAGTTTGCTTGTAGCAACCCTAGCACCTGGAATATTCCTTCAGCAGGTAGTCAGAGCCCTACTCTCAGTAGAAGTAGAACATGTGAGCCTGGAGTGCCTCCCTACAGCTAACTTTAGTCCCTTTCCCTGCACTGGAGGAAGCTCTGCCGGCACAGGAAAACCAGACATCCTGTCACCTCAAGTCTTCTTTGCCTGGGGAGGTCAGGGCCCCCCCAGCCTGGCTAACCAGGCACTGATAGGATGTGTATGTTGGGGACTCCAGCGTGGCTGCTTCTGCCCCAGGACAGGACAGGGCAGGGCAGGGCTGGGCCGGCATCCCCAGGTGAAAAGATCTGCCTGGGCTGGGCCTGGCTAGTGGGGAAAAATTCCCTTAGAAGGAAACAGAGGTGAATTTCCCCGCGATTTGCATACGGTGGGGGCAAGGCTGCCTGCCCTTGGGGGGGAGGGGGTGGCAGGGCAGGAACCCAGCAGCAGCTGAGACAGGAAGTTTGAGGCTGGAATTCCCCTCCTGCCACAGCCCAGCTCAGAAACCCCCCCTGCGTGGGGCGGGTCCTCTGCCTTTCAGGAGCCAGTTCCTCTGACAACCCCCTCCACCAGTGCCCCTCCTCCTTTTGCCGGGACACAAACACACACAGCACATGGCTGCTCCCAGGGCTCAGCCATTCTTGGCCCACACCCCCCAGAGGAAGGAGTTACAGATCTTTCCTGGCTCCTAGCTCAGCGGCTGGAGGCTAGAGCCTGAGGAGACCCTTAATTCTCAAGCATAGGCAGGAGAGCCAGCTTTCTCAGCCTCCCACCCAGGTTCTGCCCAAGTCAGAGGATGGGGCTCACCCACATGCCTGCTGAGCTGTGCCAGGACAGCTGACTTGCCCCAGCTGGGCCAGGAGTAGGTGGGGCCAGGGAGGGCAGAGGCTGACATCATGCCAGCCTCGGGCAGCCCACCTGGGAAGATCCTGGGGCAGCTGAGGAAGGAGCCCTTCCCACCCCCGTGTCTGGGGTCTCCCGGTTCAGGCCAACAGGAACTTTTCCTTGTCCACCCAGCCCTGACTCACGAGCCTGCCTTGGAGGGAAGTGGGAGAAATCAGGGGCAGAGGGTGGGGCCTGTATCCTAGAGAGAGATCTGAGTTTCCCAAGGTAGACAGCAGCCCTGGGCCTGGCTTCACCCTCTGCCTCCCTCCACTCTCCCCTGTGAAAGATTACTTGGGGGCAGGGGTGGGAGTTACTGGGGCTGGGCCCCCAGAGACCAGGCCAGCCCTGCCAGCCGAGTCAGCAGGAATCCAAGTCACAGCTCACCTGGAGCCTAAGCATCAGGCCACCAGCTCACACCCATCATGCAGAGCCAGATCCAGCCTTGAGGTCATTCCTGGTCATAATTACAAAGGCCTCGGTAGCTGGGCCTGCTTCCGTGGGAGCCCGGTTCTGGGCCAAGAAGGCCTCAGAAGACCCAGCCCCTGAACAATAATAATAACAGCAATGATAACTGTTTATTGAGCACCTGCTACTTCCCTGGTTCTCTGTGTTCACTCCTCACAACCACCACCTGAGAAAACAGGGCTCAGTGAGGGTAAGTGACTGGTTCTTGTGCATGTGAGCTGGTCCCCTGAGCTATCCTGCCTCATGTCATGGGACAAGAGTTGGGATAGAGAGTGCTGGCCTCAGGGACAGACCACAGCACAAGGGGTGCTCTGGACTGGAATCCTTGTATCGCTTACCAGCACGGTAGCCCTGGCTACCTGAGTTTTGAGCCCCTCAGTGTTCATCCCTAAAGCATTTCTAACCCTCCTGCTTCAAAGGGGTCACTCATGAGGGTTAAGGGAGCCTCCTGGCAGGCAGTGGGGCCTTGTACTGAGTTTTCCTTCACTCTAGACCAGTACATGAGAAGAAGTCACTCCCGCCTGAAGGCCCCCGGACCAGAGTTGCAGAGACATGTGGCCACCCTTCCGCGTCCTGGCCACGGAAACAACACATACCTCATGGCCACATTGCTCCCGTCGATGACCACCGGCCTCAGGTCGCTGCCCTCCTTGTCCTCCTCTGGGAGCGAGGGCTCCAGGGTGGGCACCTTGGGGGTGCCCCCACCCCGAGGGACCAGAGGGGGCTGAGGGCAGGGGTCAGGCGAGGCCTGGCGCTCACGCTCGGCAGCTGACCCGTGCTTCACCAGCTCGCCCAGCACCGTGTTGGTGTCCGCCTGCACCCCCAGCTTCTGCAGGACGCTGTGGATCTCAGTAGATGAGTAGCCCAGCTTCCGGAAGAAGTCCACCTTCATCTGTAGCTCTGAAACAGATGCCTCCTCAGCAGGGGGCTCCTGGGCCGGCCTGGGAGTGCCCCGACAGCTGTGGCTGTGCTCAAGTTCCCACAGACTCATGGCGGGGCTGGCTTCCTCGATGGGCCTCTCTCCGCAGGGGCCACTCATGGCTCAGACTCCTGGAAGGCACCGGCCACAGCTCCTACTGGACAACCACAGGGTTAGGGATGCGGAACGTGTCTCTTTTCCGTGGGCCACACGCAACAGGAGGAGGCAGCACTGACCAATGGCACTATACAAAGCTATCTTCATGTGTTAGCTCAGGCCGTCCTCTCAAAAGCTCTCCCAGCCAGCCATTATCATTCCCATTATGTACAGTGGGAAACTGAGGTACCAGCATTAAGAACTTGCTCAAGGTCATCCAGTTGTTGGCTGGCTGCGCCAGGATTTGAACTTAGTCTGACTCCACACCCGCACGGGCACCCGCACGCCAACCCAGGGGACCCGGAGGCAGGGGCGGGGCTCCCAGATGGAAACCTGAGGTTGGAAGTGCGCCGAGGGCCGCGGGCTTCCCCAGGAGGCCGTCGCCTTCGCCCACCCGTCCCGAACTCCGGGCCCAGGACGCCCAGGGCCAGTGGCCAGACGCCCGGACCGGGGGAGGGCCAGTTTCCGGGGAGATCCACCGAGGACAAAAGTTCCTGGAAACTCCGGTTGGCCGCCGGGCGCGGGTGACGCCGAGGCCGTCCCGCCCCGAGGCCCGCGCTCCCTCGGTTCCCGTCTGGACCTTGGCCCCCTCCCTCGGCTCTCCCAACTTGGGCTAAGTTAGCGAGGGTCCCGCGGCCGCCGAGCCCCGGGCGCCGTCCCGCCGGCCCGCCTCCGGTCGGCAGCGGCGCAGCGCCCCCCGCCTCGCGCCTCACCTCGCCGGGCGCCGACCGCGGCCCGCGGCGTCTCCATGGGGCCGAGTCCCGGCGCCGGGCCGCGGCTCCTTTATACGGCCGGGCGGGCCGGCAGGTGGTGGCAGGGGCCGTGACGCGGAAGCGGGGCGGAGAGGGACGCGAGCGCCGGTGGCGGAGGCCGTCCGGGGGCGGAGCGGCCGACGCCCCTTCCTGCTCCGCCCCTCGCCGCCCCGCCCCGCCCGCCCCGCCCCCGGCGCGCCGGCCCGCCGGGCTAGGGTCCCGAGCTGGGGCCGCGGCCTCTTCCGCTGGCCTCGCGGCCTCGCCGGCGACGGGTCTGGCGGGGAGAGGGGACGGCCCCTGTGCGTAAGATAAGCACCGGCTGGAGCAGGTCCCCGCACCTGCCAGGTACGGACAGGTAGAGCCGCGGACGTTCAGATCTAAGAACGTGACAAGTACGCCCTGCCCGAGGGAGGTGCAGTCGCGGGCACACTGAGCGAATCGGGCACCCAGAGGCTGCTCCACAAACTGTTGGAGGTAGGTCCATAGTTACCCAGACAGGTACAGAGAGACAGGCACTTTCCAGATTGAGACAGGACCACTGAACAGGTAGGCTGCGACGGAAGCAGTTGTGCAGAGGTGGGGCCACGCCCAGGGCCAGGCACACTTCTTCTGAAATAAGCACCTTTTCCAGGATAGAAAGGCAGGTATAACCAGCTGATACGCAATGACGGAGGCGGGAAACCAGGAAAAGGAGGGACATTTACACTCATCGCCATATAAATACATGTTCACAGAAAAATATTGTTACCCATGCTACAAAACTCACCTGATTCTGCCCCCACTGGAGGAAGCACCCACCCGCCCCATACGGATGCTTTCAGTTTCCCAGGTCAGTAGTGACCCCTCACCCAAGCGCAGCGCTTTACAGTATCTGTCCGTGGGCGTAGGTGAGGTCAGTATGCCCATTTTACCCTTGGGGAATTCAGAAAAGGTTAAACTGCCTCAGCTAGAAAGACCTGGGACCAGGACAAAGAGCTCCCATCCCAGTGCACCAGGTGCCGTCTGCCACTTTGGAAACCACCAGTGACCTAGGGCAGAGGGGAGCTTGGCTTTGTGTGTGTGTGTGTGAGAGAGAGAGAGAGAGAAAAGGGAACATAGAACCCACAAGCTAGAGGGCAAAGCCTCATCAATGCCACCAGTACTTACTGTGTGCCAGCCCTTTGCTTACGCTGTCTCTGCCTTATCATAGGCGTGTGTCCTGTAAGGTAGGTGTTAGTGTTGTAAGAAAAGATTGTTTCCTGTAAAAGACACCATAAACACAACTATACATGTAGTGCGTACAGAATAATAGTAATAAAAATCCATACATCCACCACCTGGCTTGAAAAAGAGACCAGTGCCACTAGCTCTGAGGCCCTCTAGGTTCCCCCGTCACAACCTCCTCGCCTCGTCCCGAAGAATTACTTAACTGAATTTTGATTGTGCTAGACATTCCCTTACTCTTCCTGTGGTTTTACCGCCCTTGTGTGAATGCCTAAATAGTAGATTGTTTAGCTATTTTCTACTTCTTGTAAATGGAATCATTCTATAATTATATGACTTCCTTTATCACAGTGTTATATATTTAAGAATCCATTTCTGTTGCCTGTTTACCTATGATTTATTTATTTTACTGCCGAATAGTATTCTATTCTGTGAATATACCACTGGTTATTTATTCATTCACCTGTTGTTAGATGTTGTTTCTAGGATTTTTTTTTTTTAACTATTAGAAAGAGTGTGCTTTGGATATTCTTGCACATGTCTTAATGCAATTGTAGAGCTGAGGAAATGGACACTTCGGGAAAGGTGAAGTCACTTGCCCAGGGTCACGGGCTGGTGGAGCTGGAATTTACATAGCACTCCTCAAAGGCAGTGAGTCTCCGCACCCCCATGGCTAGGAACCTGCTTGTTCCCGAGGCCACAGAAGACCCCAGGGAGAGATGCTTTTCTTGGTGGGCCCTGAGGCTGTTCCTCTGGGCTTGCCTGACCCTGCCTAGCCATGTGCCTGCTTTGTTGCCTGGTCATTTTTGAAGACCCCAAAGTGTCCCCTTCTTTGTGTGCCCCTGCCCCCAGGTACAACAGCCCCAGGGGCTGGCAGCCTGAGGAGAGAGGGAACACAAGGTCCCCTGCCACATGCCAGCCCCCATGCATGCGGGGCACCCCTAGGCTGGCAGTCACTCCAGCCCAGCACTGTACCGGCTGTAGCCCCGGTCCCACAACAGCTACTTTTACAGATGAGAAGAGCTCAGTGATGTCAGGCGTTTATTCGTAGCTACTTTCAAGATAGGAAAAGTATTCAGTGACGTGTCCAGGTTAATAAAGATAATGATATCAAGAGTGAAGCACAGCGATAAGGCCTGGCATTGATAGAGAGCTCGCTGGGCGGCGGCGCCGCCTCTGCTCAGCCTCTCCCAGGAGTGCCCTCCCCTCCCACCCGCCCCGCGGCTGCCGGCCAACTCCATTCATCTCGTTGATGATGTCACCTCCTCTGTGAGGCCTGCCGAGCCTCCTCAGTGCTGCCTCAGCATCCTGCCTGTGTCCCTGCGAGCCTTGCGGGGTCATCATTGCTAGCTGGGCTGGGACTAAGCTGGGACTCCGCCCTTGCTCCCAGGCCCCTGCTGCCCAGCGCTGCGCCAGTGGGAGGCAGCGGGACGGGTGATGAGTCACGCCGCTGCCTGCCCTCCCAGAGTGAGCCGCGGTCTCACATTCTTCCGGTTCACGAAGTCTGCTTCTTCCCGGGAAGCTGACTCTCTTCTGCAGAACCCAGGGCTTCTCCGGGGAACCCCTGCTCCACTTACAGCTGGGTTTTGCAAACTTGGGCCCCAATCCCTAGGAGTACTGTGGTGTTGAGCCCACGCACCCTCCTCTGCCTCTTGCATGCCTGTCTTGGAAGCTGGGCTGCAAATTTCCTTCCTGGAACCTGCCAGCCCTCCCAGCATCTGCCTGTGTCCAGCCAGCCTGGGTGAGGTCTGCAAAGCTCCTGGACTGGCCACCCCCTGCGGGGAGGAGGGCAGGCTGGAGAGGGAAAGGCCCCTGGAATGACCTTGGACTTCAGTAGGGCACCTCAGCCTGGGGAGGACCCCGGAGCTGGGCCCCCTCCATAGGAAGACTGGGCGGCAGGCTGGCCCCAGGCCTTAGAGTGGCTGTGGAGGTTATGCTTAGATTCCACAAGGCCTCCTGAAAGTAGAGAAGGGACGAGGTCCCTCCCATGTTTTGAGGCTCCTGGTATATTTTAAAAAGCCTTGTCACAGCAGGGCTACAAAAATCAATGTATGTTTTAAATGGTAATGGAACAAATTAACTCTTTTTTCTTTATCACGCACTCAAATGCAGTACCATATATTTGGACTATTGACAAGATAATTAGAGAACCTGTTTTAAAAATACATCATTTCCTTGGAGAAATGGCTGATTCTAGGGCTGGGACAGGGAAAAGACGAGCCTGGAGCACCTTGTGGTGCCACAGAGTTGGGGAGTGCTCCAGGTGAGAAAGGATGGGGGCGTGTCTGAGGGACCCAGGAGCCAGAAGAGCTCCCAGTGGCCCAAGCTGGAGCAGTTGGAGCAATGGGGTAGTATAGGATTATAACCCAAAGTATAAAATAAATATTTTTATTTTATAAATACATTTTTGAATACATTTATTTTGAATAAATTTTTGAATAAATAACTAACTGGGGTCGGGAGCAGTGGCTCATGCCTGTAATCCTAGCACTCTGGGAGGCCGAGGCAGGAGGATTGCTCAAGGTCAGGAGTTCGAAACCAGCCTGAGCAAGAGCGAGACCTCATCTCTACTAAACATAGAAAGAAATTAATTGGACAACTAATATATAGAGAAAAAATCAGCCGGGCATGGTGACGCATGCCTGTAGTCCCAGCTACTCGGGAGGCTGAGACAGGAGGATTGCTTGAGCCCAGATGTCTGAGGTTGCTGTGAGCTAGGCTGCTGCCACGGCACTCACTCTAGCCTGGGCAACAAAGTGAGACTCTGTCTCAAATAAATAAATAAATAAATAAATAAAATAACTAACTAGGGAGAAGAGGCAAACCTTCCTTACAGAAGAATTCCCTGGAATGAACGTAGATGCTCCTCCCTCTAGGAGGCGGAGCTTGGTGATCTCCTCCCCTTCCCTTGAGGGTGCGCTGGACTCCGGTCTCGCTCCTGAATAATAGAATAGGGAAAGATAAAAATAGTGACTTTACAGTGGAGAAACCTGGCAGACACCACCTTAACCAAGGGATCAAGGTTAACATCACCAACGACACGTCAAGCGGATGTCACGCACCTGCCCCCTCTCGCCCCCTCTCGCCCCCTCTGATGTTGTGTGACCAGAAGCGCACATCACCCGTGTGGTATTCTTTCTGAAAACCCATAACTAACCCCAGAGAAAAACATCAGACAAACCCAAATTATAGGACATTCTACAAAACACCTGACTAGGATTCCTCAAAACCGTCAAGGTTATAAAAAGCACAGAAAGACATAAATAGTCATAGACCAGAGAAGACAGGTTGACTCCTGCAACAGAAAGAATAGTAATACCAAAGCTGGTAAAATCCAAATAAGGGCTGGCGTTTAGTCGGTAGTGCTGTGCTTATGTAGGATTTTTGAGTTTTGACAAATGGCCCACCGTGGCGTGAGATGGTAACATTAGGGGAGACCAAAACTGGGGACGGGCACACAGGAACTCTATATATCATATCTTTGCAACTCTTCTATAGACCTAAAGTTAATTCCAAAATTCAGATGTCTATTTAAAAAATATCCATATAATTTTATGGGCCTTGCAGATGGTGTGTGTTGGTGATTGGGTCAGCTCTCTTGGTACTTATCCTGTGACTGAGTATAAGCTTATTTGGAGATAATGTCAAAGGCTGAACTTGAGGCCTTTTTGTCTACGGGGTCCTGGCCAGATGCCCCTGCTGTCTCTCCTCTTCCCTCTGCCCCCGGCATTCAGCCACCACTCCTCCCTCTTTTCTGAAGCCTGGGCTCAGACCACTAGAGTTGGAAAGCCCCGTGGACATGGGTTAGCCTGAAACCTTTCTTTTATAGACAAGGAGACTGGGAGGGAAGGGACTTGCCCCTGGCCACGGGTCAAGTTGATTTAGGCAGAGTTGAGCATGGGACTAGCCAGGCTTTCTCCATCCCAGGATCCTGGGCCCCATTTGCCATGGAGACGGGCACTGGACCCACGCGGGTGCTCTGAAGTATCAGTGACTCCCTTGGGGACCTGATAAGGACAGTGCTTACCTGGAAGGAAGGGCGGAACCTCGGGAGTCAGTTGGAAGGAATGGTTTGGAGTGGAAGTTTCCCCTTTGGCCTCACTGTGCATTCTCTTAACCAGTGAATCCCACCTGCTTTGGAAGATCCAGGAGGAGGTGGGGCCTGAAAGTAGGCCAAAGGCTGAGTCTGTCTACGGCCCCCCACCCCTACCCCAAAGCTGTTGCAGTAAAGGGACCAGAGAGGATTCTGCAGAGCTCTGAGCCTGTGAAGA